CCGCATCTTCCTCCTTCCTAGTTTGCCTTGCTGAATCAATCCTGAGCCATCCAGAGGCTCTGAGCTGTTGCCCTTCCTCTCCAGCCTCATCTCACCTGCAGGGTGCAAGTGTGAATTCTGGAGCCTGACAGTTTCCGGGTGCTAATGACTGAGTTGTGGGGCCCTGCAGGAAGACCTGGCACTCTGTGTCTGGGTTCCTCATTTACAAGTGGAGGTGAGACTATGTCAGAGGACTGTTGTGAGGATTAAAGCAGGTATAAAGGGAAAAATGCAGAGACTAGCATGCAGGAGGCTCACTTGCTGAGTACCCAACAAATGTGCAATTAGTGTAAATTTGCTTCCTCGGGTGAAACTCCTTAACTTCAATCATTACCCACTCTTCTTCTGTAGTAATTACCATTATCTACTTAATGTATTTAAGAAATCAATGCAACGTTTTACTGGGCCCTGTTTCAAGCAATAGTGTTTGCGATCATTTCTCAAACACATGTTAAAATAAGAGCAGATCCTCTAGAACAATGGTTTGGATGTTTTGAACGTTGGCACCCTCTGAAGTCTCAGATCAGGTGCACATTCCGTGCATCACCTGCCAGTCACTCTCCCAGAGAGCATGTCTGCAGCACTTCACTTTCAGAGATGAAAACACATCTTCCTTGCCCTTGTGAGCAGAGACCCAAGGGACACAGTGGGGAGAACAATTATCATGTACAAATGGGGACAGGGGACACTTCACCCGGGGCTGGCTAGTTTTTGAAAAGAACCAAATATTTCAGATGTTCCAAATTCCAGATGCAAGACAACTTGGCGTTGCACTTGGAGTCTACGTTGTGAGGCTTGGCCTCTTAGGTGAGATCCTTGCAACCCTCATCTATCAAATGGGATTAGGTCTCCGTCTCGCAGCTGCTGGAAGATTACAGACGCAGCCGGTCCTCCATGGATGAGTGTCATCCTCAGAATCTCAGCACTCGCATAGGCAGACCCTTTCCTGTCCTGCAGGCATGTGGACCTGGCTATCCTCCTCTCTGCTGTTAATGCTCTCTAGGATTTTCCTCAAAGTCTGCCTCTGCCGAAAGCATCCCGTCATATGCATAACCCACCTAACTGGTGAACACATACCAAAGGCTTCCCAAGTTCAAGGCACAACTCCAAAAAGCCTCCTGTGTACTCCTTGTGACAACGGTATCTGACAGAGGATAGGGCTTGTGAAATCCCACTTGACTTGTGATGAAATGAGGCATAGAGAGGTTAAGCCATGAGACCAGGTCCCACAGCTGGTAAGTGAGGAGTAGGTAGCAATGAACCTGCTTCTAGTTAACACGGGGTTGCAGTGAATGCCCATGGAAGACCAGTCCATCTAGCCCAGTGACCTGACTGCAGGCATTGTGTTCCTCAGGGGACACTGGCAGTATCTGGAGACATCGTTGGTTGTCAGAGCTGGGGACTGGGTGTTGCCAGCATTTAGTGGTTATCAGTCAGGGATATTGCCAAATATCCAACAATGCATAGGACCATCCCCTGCTCCCAAAAAAGAATTACCCATCATAAAACGTCAGTGGTGCCATGTTGGAGACCCCCTGATACAGACACCAGTGCATCAAGTATGTAGAAACTTCCCTCTTTACTCTTTTCAAAGATTTCTTTTATTTATTTGAAAGGAAGAGTGAGGGGGTGGGGGAAGAGAAAGAGAAAAAGAGACCTTCCATTTGCTGGTTCACTCCCCATATGGCTGCCAACAGCCAGGACTAGGCCACGCTGAAATCAGGAGCCAGGAACTCCATCCGGGCTTCCCACATGGGTGCAGGGGCCCACGCACTTGGGTCACCATCTGCTGTTTTCCTAGGCACGTTAACAGGGAGCTGGATTGGAAGTGGAGCAGCTGGGACTCAAAGCAGAGACAGGGGGAGGCCAGAGTTGCATGTGGTGGCTTAATTCACTGAGTCACAACTGAAGCCCAGAACCTAACTCATTAAAGTCCAACTTCTGGCTTGGAAGAAGCCACAGAACGCTGACATCCGCATCTACTTTTCTACAAGCAATCCTGCAAGCCAGGACCCAGAGCCAGCTTCCTCAGGCACATTGTCTTGTCATTCAGATAAGTTGATTAAAAGCACCCCACAGAGTGCAGGGGCTGGGTGGAAGAGAACAGGCAAGGAGCAGCACAGCAGGTGACCCGAGTTAACAACACAGCCAATGGCCTGGCCCCTGGCAGTCTACAGGATGGAGAGAATAAAGAAGCAGGGACAAGCTCTTAGCAGCAGCCTCCACTCTGTGATCCCGGAAGGAAGAAACCAACTTGTAGGGCAGAGGGGAGAGCCGTGCAGGCACATGGACATCCTGCCAGGCCCCAGCATTTCCCTCTTCTTACACTGGTGACCCTGTTTGCTTTTAGTTTTCGAAGAGACATGAAACTGTCAGTTGACAAACATAATCAATAGGACAAAGTTGGAGAGGGTTTGTTTAGCAAAGTTTTCTGTATACACTGCCAAAATAATCCGGTGAGGGGCAAATACATTCGCTATGACGAACAGCAACAGAAGGCAGGAAGCTGACCTGAGTATTTTTGCTTTATTCAATCTAATAAACATTTCATGTATATAAAAGACAAACAATGCATAGGATGAAAATAAGTGCTTGAGATTTCTGATATAAAAGAGTATACAGCATTCACATTCCTATTAATACATGAGCATGGCTGAAGTGTTCCATAAAAGAATAAACTTTCCCTTTATGTATAGTAGTAAGAAAAAAAAGTCAGTATTTTTAGGAACTACAGAATGTTATTCCTTGGTCTTTTCTCTTGAATAAAAAAAGACAACATAGAACAAGCCACAGTATCATCCGACACCACGATCCAGTTTACACTGAGGATGACCCAGAAGTGGTAAAGCTCTCAAACCTCGGGAGATCCCCTGTATGCACCAGTATTCTAAGAATCCACCACTAGAGGTCAATGAGCAACAGCTATTGGGAAGGCACCAGCAAGCCCTAAGGTGCAAGTGCAACTCAGCGCTTCCCTCCTAGGACTGCACAGTGTGTGGTCGTCTCTGAAGCCCAGCAGCACTGAGCAGGGCGCCTAGGGCTTCCACTGGGCCCCACGCTTCGCACGTATCCTAGAACCTCAATGAGATGAGATCTTTTACAATCCACGCAGAGCTGATGCGCCCACTGCCAGTCCTCTCTCGTATTCCCCTCTGGCTAAAGACAAATAGCTTTAAAAACACAAAATGATAAAAAAAAAAAAAAAAGATTGTTACTTGCAGCATTAACACTTGTGTTTGTGGAGTAACAAGTTTCCTCTGGAGTATTAAAGCTCATTCTTTGTTCCTGTCTACACGGACACAGACTTCCTTACTGCAAATGGGACTGGGGTGTCCCACGTTCCAGCCCTCGCTGTGTGGGGAAGGCTGGTGTCCTGAAGATTCGGAAAACAGGAGGAAACCTTCCTGGAGGAAAGCACTCCCCTTCTTAATGCAGAGGGAAAAACCCTTCATGGAGAAGCAAAAGGGACGTGGGCTACCTGGGACCACACGAAGCAGTCCCCGTGAGTCCAACTAAAGGCTGACTTGAAATTTTCATTCCAGACCAGGTAGTCAAAATCCTATGATATAGCCAGAGAATGATGGCTTGAATGCACGTTTCTTACAAGGGACTTTGGTGAAATCCCAGAGTGGGGTACAAATGTTTACAGTGAGAAGAGAAGCAGCTTTTTAAGTGTGTCCACACCTTCATTTTGTGAATGATGTGCATTGCAGAGAACTGGAAACCATTTGCTATCCTTACGAGGGATCCATGTCCTTCTGCAAAAATCTACTAATATTTTAAAAAGTGGCTCAACTTTCTTCAGCGCTGTGCTGGCCAAGCCAAACACGTGTTCAGCCTGCCCGAGGACGGGGTCCTCACAGTGGCAGGATTGTGTAGTTGGGCTGACACCTGCTTGAGCTTTCAGGAGCTCAGAAAGACGGGACCCAGGGATGTTTGCACGGAAAGCGAGAGACTCAAGCCAAGTGTGGCGAGAAACTAAACACAATGAGCCCTGGGGCGGGAGGCGGTGGTGGGAAATCTGTTCCCTTTTGGGGAAGGAAGAAGGCTGGGACTGGGGAAGGGTAGCAAATGTACAGAGGGAATGACACAGCGAAGAACAATCTTACTAGTAGATGGTGGGGCAAGTTCACGGGTGCAGACATTTACCCTGATTGTTCTGCAGCCTATGAGGGTGACACATGGGGCCTCGAAACATTTAAACTAGCAGAGATGGGGCAGTTTCTGAGCTGTGTGGAGCTTGGAGCCCAGATGCAAAATCCAGGAGCGTCAATGGCACACAGGAACCCCAGGAACACTGGTCCCCAAACAGTGCGACCATACTTAGCTCCAGGGCTGGAGGAGAACCCCCGTGCCAGGAATCATGATTGCAAAAGCAAGTGTAACGTGGCCGAAGCAGGCCCCGAGACACGGAGCGTCTCTGCTCACGCCAGGTGCCCCGTCGCCCAGCTTGGGGAGGACACCACGTGTGTCTGTCAAGGGGTAACGCTGTCCTCTGCCTTCCTTCCTCGCTCGGTTCTGGGGCTCTCCAACCAAACCGATTTCCTGGGAATCTTTGATCTTTTTCCTTGTCTCTTTTCAGAGTATGGCTATATATATTTATATAGATAGATATAGATATAGACATATATAGATATATATAAAACATAGCTATTCCATATTTATATACAGGCATTAATAAAGTGCAAATGTTATTGGCTATTGTAAAAAAAAATCAATCTCGTTTCCTGAGGAAGTGCTAACACAGCTTATCCTATGACAATGTCAAAGGTTTAGAATGCTTTATGTCACCTGCTCCCTGTGCTGTGTTTTCCATTCATCCCCACAGCTTACAGGGAGGGGGAGTGATGCCCTTGGTTTTCCAGGAAGCATCGGCCAATTCAGGGGCAGCTTCCTGCTGCCGCTGTTCTTTGGTGAGAGTGGTGGCTTCTTTGGATTTGGCCCAGCCGGTCCCAGAAGTGCTACTTGGTAGTGTTCAGCGAGCCATCTTCTGGAATCTTCTCCTCAGAGCAGCTCCTTCCCGAGAGTCTGTCCAGGTACTCCAACTCGCTGAAGCGTTCCGCCACGCACTGGGCCGTGAGACGGGCCTCCGGGTCATGGTCCCAGCATTCGGTCAGTGTCTCACACACCATCTGTATGCCCTGGAGAGGGAGAGGGGTCCAAAGCACACTTGAATGGAGGGTTCTGGGGGTGGCAAGGTGGTCTGTTGACATTTGGCCCTGCAGCGTACTAACACGCTCTGCCCAAGCACCTTGCCAGTTCCATGTGGAACAGGGGCTGTGCAGGGGGCAACGGCTCAAGACACCTGTCTGCCTATTCGCACTGGTGTGATTTGGTCACTACAGGTCAGGACACACGAGGGCCCCCTGCTTGGGATACAGGGCGAGAGGAGCATTGTCAACGCTTGATTTCTCAGGTGGTGGCCCCCAATACCGGTCACACCTTTCTATTCTACTTTGAGCAATTTTAGGTTCACCGCTAAACTGAATGGAAAAGTATAGCAAGTCTCTAAATAACTCCTTCCCCACACACGCACAGGCTCTACTGTCACCAGCTGGCCTCTGTTTGGTGCACCTATTGCAACTGACGAGCCAAAGCTGATACATGATTCCTAACCAAGATCCACGGTTCACCCTGTGGTTCCCTCTGGGTGTTGTACACTCCACTGGTTTTGATCTTCCACTGCCGTGTCATGCATAATATTGCCTCCACCCTAGAAATCCCTCATATTCCACTTGTTCCCTCCCCCTCCCCCTGAAGTCCTGGCTCTGCATTTGTTTGTGCTGGGGATCATAGAGTTGGCTCACATAACACCACTCGATTCCGACAGGGCTGAATACCAAAGTCAGGGTGGTGTGCAGGCAGTGGGCCGGGTTCTTTACGTAAAGTGCACGTTTCGTGGAAGAATTCAGAAGCAGCTTCGAGGAACTACCAAGATGACCTCTCGCTTGCCCCATTCCTCTCCAACATTAAATCACACTCTGGGAAATGCTGTCTTTGTATGTTAAGAGTGCTTGCCTCTAGTCTATTTAATAGGGTTTATCCCAGCCCCATAAATGCCCCATCCAATGAGTCCAGCAGGGTGCCAAGTTTCCATTCACTGGCTTATTATTTATTTTTTTTTGCATTGCAAATTTTGTGGTTATTATTGCAAATCCTTTTGGGGGAAGAAATCAGACAACAGCTAAATAGATAATGTGATAAGCCAGAAATAGTTTTTTCTTCCCAGCTAAAAGATGAGCATTGCCAATGGCGATCTCTCACAACGGCTAAGGTGGGACAGACAGATCTCAACCCCGTCCTGGAGAGCCAGCACTTGTCCCACTTGCCTTTTTTTTCTTTTTTTTAATTTTTTTGACAGGCAGAGTGGACAGTGAGAGAGAGAGACAGAGAGAAAGGTCTTCCTTTTGCCGTTGGTTCACCCTCCAATGGCCGCCGCGGCCTGCGCACTGAGGCAGGCGCACCGCGCTGATCTGATGGCAGGAGCCAGGTGCTTCTCCTGGTCTCCCATGGGGTGCAGGGCCCAAGGACTTGGGCCATCCTCCACTGCCCTCCCTGGCCACAGCAGAGAGCTGGCCTGGAAGAGGAGCAACCAGGACAGAATCCGGCACCCCAACTGGGACTAGAACCCAGCACCGCTAGGCGGAGGATTAACCTAGTGCTGGTGCCGCAAGGCGGAGGATTAGCCCAGTGAGCCACGGCACTGGCCCCACTTGCCTTTTAACACCAACAGCTTTCCCAACACACCTACAAGCTTGTTTCTCCCTCCCCACCCTGTGAGTTCATGATGTTGAATTAATTGTAAAATTCACCTAATTGACGGCATTGATTGATGGCCCTGTTAAAAGTGGAGTGTTATTGTTGGTACACAAGTAACATTTATTTTATTCTGGCACTGTAATTACAGGCAGTAAATTAAATTAAATATTAAGCATTAACTTGAAATCAATAGGGCAACAAATCTCATTAAGAGAAAAAATGTATTATGCAAATTCTTCCCAGAATTTTATCATCATGAATAATGGCTTCATTAGAAGAATTACACAGCAGAAGAAGCTACAGAGTTTGGAAGAAACATAACACTCTAGAATCTTCTGATTTTTGAATTTATGCAAAACCAGTGTTGCAGTTTTAGAATCACAGATGATCTGCCGGAAACCCAGGACAGGCCCCTCCCCCACTGCAACCTGGGTCAGCCCTGACGGCTGACAGGCTGTCCCTGAAGTGGCTTTGGTCAAGGCTAGCCCAGGGCAGACTTTCTGCTCCATCTGCCTTCCGTCTTGCAGCAGAGGTGTTGTTATTTCTGTTTCTTATCTGAACCTGCCTTGCCCTTAGGAAAACCTACCACTTCCAAACTCCTTCCAATCCAGAGCAATGGCGCCCTCTTTAGCAGACACCTGTGCGCGGCATCCTGCATGCCGCAGTCACTCCCCGGTCCAGCTGCCTAACAAACCCTGCTCCTCTCCCAACTCCAAGAATTTCTTTCCTAAGCCGCAGATTCCCAGAGGAAAACATCTGAAGCCAGCAGGAATGAAACATAAACTCCCGGGTTGGGGGAAAGACCGGGGAGGGAATGGCCCTGGCTGCAAACAGAAACATTTTCGCTCCAGAACCAAGGGTCCTTGTTTACAAAATGTGACAAACAACCTTCCGACGGATACTGATGAGCCCTCCTTGGGTGCTGCCTACTCCCCTGCTTGCTGGAACTTAGAGTAAATACCAGGGTCATCCACTTTATTGGTTTTCTTTATAAACAGAACCTTCTCCGGTCCCGGAACACACAGGGACCCACCCCGAGATTTAAGTCCCATCTCCCAGAATTCTCTCCCACCTAAGGGGCTGGTGAGCATGCTGTGTTACTGTATAACATAGGACAGGGTATGTATGTGACGTCAGTCACTGCTTAGACACTGCACCAGCCGCTGCCCCTCCATTTATTTCCAACCACTTTGGCTGCAGCAGCAGCTGTGCTGGGTGCTCCTCTAGCGTCCCCTTGACCTAGCCAGGAACACCAGATCCCGCCCCAGCAGTCACGCCTTACCTGGTGGTTAAGCCAGAAGCTGGGGATTTCTGGTCGACCTCGATCTCGCAGCACATTGTCTTTCATGCTCTCCACACAGGGGTGCTCCCGCACCTTGGAACCAAACGGAGGCTCGTAATCTTTGACCTCTGTGAAGACAGCAAACACAGGGCCACTGAGAACAGGACATGCAGCTGCAGGAGACACGTGTGTGGGGAAAGGTGACAAGGCAGCATGTGCACCCCAGGACAGAGCAAGGACCGTCCTGAAGGGTGTGCGCTTTTGCCTCCTTGTGCACGAGCATCTAGTCCATACAACTCTTGGGTAAGAGTTGGTTTTTCACTTCCTCAATGGCCCCAATGGCCAGGGCCGGGCCAGGCTGAAGCCAGGAACCAGGAGCTTTTTTGGGACTTCCACGTGGGTGCAGAGGCCCAAAGACCCAGGCCATCTTCTGCTGCTTTCCCAGGTGCATTAGCAGGGAGCTCGATTGGAAGTGGAGCAGCTGGGACTCTAACTAGCACCACCATGGGATGCTGGCGCTGCAGATGGCAGCTTAACCTGCTGTGCCACAGTGCTAGCCCTGGAGAGTGGAATTTCGATCTGCGTAACACTTCTGTGTCACCTTCATCCCCACCCCCTTCCATCCCCATCTTCAGCCGAACTATAAATTCCCAAGGCCCAAGGCAGTGGCTGAGGTTTGTGTCTTTCAGTTCCTTGCTCAGTGCCCAGACTGTGCCTTATACGTAGTGGGCATTCCATAGACAGGAGTTGGTTGCAATCCAAGCAAAAGTAGAAAACTGGGAATGCGAGCTGGCTCCCAGTCCGGGTTTACTCTGACCTACTTCCCAGGTATAAAATGCATGATGTGACCCTGCGTGACCCTCCTGTCAACCCCCCAACCCCAGATTTATCTTGTAATCCAATTTAATCCAATAATGCGATAGTGGTATGCCTTGAGGAATGTGTGCTATAATACACTAGGATAGAAGAGGGTTTACATGTGATATAAATGGTCCCTTAGAGCACCAGCCAAGAGCACCAGGCCCCAGCTGCTGCGGGCATTGGGTCAAAAGGACACACACCTTCACCTTTCCTGGGGGGACTGCCCTTGGCTGATGGGAACTGCCTGTCCTAGAGATTCCTGGCCGTGTCGGCCTTATCCCAGGAGCAGCCAATAACGGACAAATCCTCTTGGTGGAGCGATTCTGGTGCAATTCCTGGCCAGCGCTGCCCGTGAGACCAGGCCGAGGGGAGACCTCTCCCAAAACTCGAGTCCGCTGACCTTCCTCCCTGCCCTCTCCTGCGAGTTCTTCCTCAATGAATCATTGCACCAAGATCACTGTGCCAGGTTCCAAGACAGCTGCCAAGAAGGTGCCTTCTCCTTCTTCCCAGGTCCACCCACTCTGGTCACAAAGCCACAGGAGGAAGTCCTTTCTTGAGACGCTGCAAGTCTTAAGCTGGACAAGCACCCAGGGATGGCACCCAGCATCAGAGTGCAGGTGGAGTCCCAGCTGCTCTGCCTGCAATGCCACTCCCTGCTAACGTACCTGGGAAAGCAGCAAAGGTGGTCCAAGTCCTGGGGCCCCAGCCACCCATGGGGAAGACCCAGATGGAGTTCCTGGCTCCTGGCTTGAGCCTGGCCCGGTCCTGGTTGTTGTGACCATTTGGGGAGTGAACCAGAGGATGCACGATCTTTCTCCCTCTCTGTAACTCTTTCAAATAAATAAAGAGATCTTAAAGAAGAGAGGGGGAGGATATGACCAATGGAAGGAAAGACAATACCAAGATCAGAGTCAACCCCACAATGAATCTCACATAGGACACACAACTCAAATTGTACCTAGGGGCCAGTTTCCCTCATTTCAAGTCCTAATCTTCAACTTGACATAAGCCCAGCACTTATTTTAATTTTGTAAGTTCTCCATGAACCATAGCAAGTTTCCATGGAGCATGGGAGAGGACAGCCCAGGGTATACTGTTGTTGAAAGACAAAGCAGTGACTGCTCCGGTGAGAGAGAAGACAAACACAGGGATCTTTTTCCAGAGCAAAGAGATTGGTAGCCGGGCCACTTCCTACTTTCATAAAATCCTGGGAAGTTGTGAGATTCCCCTACCGTCCCCAGGGGTCCCAGGGCTGCCTCCCATCTTTGACTTGCGGGAGGTTCCACAGGGAAGAGAGGTCAAGGACAGTGGGAAGGGCACACCAGGGAGACCAATGGATCTCCCTCCTCCTTCCAAATGTCAGACAGACAAGTCTGGAGGCAGCAGCGTCGGAGCCCAGCGGGCAGGCGCCACCCCGGCAGGGAGGCTGTCTTTCAGACCAGGCGTGGGGTGGGGTTGGGAAGTGTGTGCAGGTTTTGAGCTGACCTCTCTTCAACCCCTAGGGAATCTCTATTTATATAGCTTCCAAAGCAACTAAATACATGTTGACTTTTTATTTTTACCATGGATTTTTGCAATTTTTCTTTTTTGTCCTTCTCTTGAATTTTGCATAGCCTACACCCACCACTATTTTTTTTTTCTCATGCCCCATAATGTGCAGCAAGAGCACCTAACGCCCACCTGTGTGTGTGCCTTTGCCGTTCGGTCAGCAGCTTTGCCACTGGGTTGTGGCTGTTGCACAGTGGTGCTTGTTTTTCTTTTTGTGACTATGTAGTCCAGGTCATTCTCAGGGCCCCATGAGGACCTGGACGATGACCATGACAGATGTTATGATGGAGGCCGTTCCCTCTGACGGCCTCGGTTCTTCTACATATTTGCTTTGCAGCAACAGAAGGGCATGGCCCAGGGTTCAAGGTGGAGGCCTGACTCCTGACAGAGGAGGTTAGAGGACAGGAAGCCTCCCAGCCTGATGGGTACCAAGGGTCCTTCTGAGGGGAGAACTCATGTACTGGAACTGAAGAGTCTCGGGTCGGGAGCAGTGCTGGGGACAATCAGTGAGACGTTGGCCAAGGCTTTTGCTACTCTGGCTTCCTCCCAGGGCTCCAGGCAGCTAGCGGCTGAAGGCTCAGTCCACTTTGGCAAAACCACTGGGTCCGAATAACATATCCTTGAGCTACGGATTTGTCACATTAATATTTAAAATCTTTTTATTCTAGAAAGTGAATGTGATTAAGATTATGAGGTTACTAAATATAGGTTAGTGGAGAAAAGCACATCTCTCTTCCACTCATAGTACCTAGTTTCATAAAACTGGGGTAGGTTGCATGGTGAGAGTACCCGTGATATTGAATTTCTCCCTATTGTTTACAAATGAGCATTTATCATTCTATTTTTTATTTTTTAATGAAAGAGCAGGTGTTTCACCCTCAATTCACTAGGGACTGAGGCTTTGGTAAAACACAATAGAAATGGGCTACAAGACAAAGGAATCTCATTGGGGAGTTGTGGCAATACTAAACTGATGATAGAGTCCCCAAACTCCTCCTGAGTTTCTGTGTCCGCCCCACGCCACCCGCTAACCCTCTCCACATGACAACTCTGAGGCACTCTGACACCAGCAGTCGGCACAGAACCACGCCTGGGGCCGCACTGCTTAAATGTTCCACACACACACAAACAGTCTTGGGAGGACAAGGAATACAAGTTATTAAGCCTATCTCCTGGGTTTCACACGAGTCAGAGAATGCCACGGGGCAATCTTCAGAGTCGTGAGCGACACCCTCACTTTACAGAGACAACTGAGACCCAAGGGCACCCCCGATTGCAGGAAGAGCATCCAGAACTGCACGCGGTGCAGCTGCTATGCTGTGAAACTGCTCTGCCTTCTTAGGAAGCTCGTGTGCTTTTCAACCTCTCTAGCAAGCCATGCGGAGAGATCTTTCTCCCCCAAGCAGAGCAAGCACACAGCCCCACTGCGACCAAGCCCATGAGTCAGGAAGGGGAAGGAAGAGGGTAAAGGTATCTTATCCAGGGGGTCCCCACTCTGGGAGACTGCAGGGTAACTGTGTGCAGTGTGGCCCTCTCACGTCCGTACCACAGCGCCTGCCTCAGCACACTTCCTCTTCCCTCCCTGTCTCCCCTGTGGCCGATGGACGCCATCCACAAGCACCAGACCCTCGGAGCTTCCTGTAGGTTCCCTCAGGAAAGAACAATGCCTGCCCCTCTCTTCCCAGTCCTGCGGTACTCGGAGGGAGGGCAGACCCTAGACCAGCAATGCCACCCCTTCTCCTCCGCAGGGGAGCAGCTGGGACACAGCTGGCTTTGCAGTGCAGCTCCCACTTAGCAGGACGGCAAAGCTGCTGGCAGCTTCCCCAAAGCAGTACCCCCTGGGTTTCCATAGCCGCGTTCCAAACTGCGGGCCCTGGAAAGTCAGGACCAGCCTCCTCTCCCAGGCTCGCTTGCTTCCTCATTCCTTTTCGTTCTTGTTCTTTCCTCCCCTACTCCTTTGGGTTCTTTTGCTATTCTTGTCCTTACAAGACTACAGCCACCAGACAACACTCTAAGGAGCCATACTGGGAGTTGTGTTACTCCCCACTAAACTGTTAGGGCACACAGGTGTTTAGCTTAGTGGGTAAAGACACCAGTGAGGAAGTCCATGACCCACGATGAAGTACAGGGTTCAACTCCCGGCTCTGGTTCCTGATTCCAGCTTCCTGCTACTGCAGGCCCTAGAGGGTGCTGGTGATAGCTCAAGTAATTGGGCTCCTGCCACCCACATGGGGGGCCTGGATTGAGTCCCTGGCTCCTGATTCTGCCCCCGGCTGTTGCAAGAGTCTGGGGAGGGAACTAGCAAATGGGAGCTCTCTCTAGCTGCCTCTCAAATAAATAAATCAATAAATACTATTCCTAACAAAAGAAAGGCTACAATGAGATAAAACAATTGGAAATGTAAAAACATTTCTTGCTCAGCTGGCTGCTATGCATCAGTTTCACGTGACTCTCTCGACTCTGGGGGTTTGGAAATGGGTTTGTTTGTGGGCCACTTCTGGCTGGCGATGACGTGAAGACCGTGCCTGCTGTGTGTGCCAAAGGGGCCCCGAGAGCAACCGCTTCCATCCTCCGCCCACATGCTCCACAAACACTAGCTGAACACCAAACAAACCAAAGCCGGGACAGAGACTTCTTTGTGAAAGGAGGCTGGACGCCGTGTCTGTCCCCACTGAATGATTTCACAACTTTTCTCCTCTACAGAACAAGTACCACGCCA